TTTAATGTTAGTCAGCAGCTTCAAAACAAAAGTTGTGTGATGGAATTCTACTGTTCATACAACTCCATAAATTTTCAGTATGTATTGTATGTGTATGTATGTTTCATGTATGAAGTTTACAGATTTACAGGACAGGCGAACACTTTCTTCATTACACATTTAAAATCACTCTCCTTAGTTTGTAAGGTGTACGCAGGGATTACATGTAGATTTTATATGCGTATGTGTAAGTGGTTTAAAAATTCCTTTCTTTAAAAGTCTCATTTAATCTTAAAGTGCATTACTATATTTTTCAGTACCAATTAAAGTTGTGTGCCTTTGTACAATCAGTGGGATCAGTTGCAATGCATATTTGTGAATGATAAAAGTAAATTGCACATTTGTCTAAGGAAATATGAGGTGTTTCATGAAATGTTTTGTAAAAGGATAGTTCATTAAATTTCAATATTTTCCTAATGTTCTTGTGCTTCTTTACACCAAAACAAAGGAAATACATGATATTTTTGTTATTTTTAGCAGAGTATGGTATAATTTTAATGGTCCGGCCCACTTGACATCTCCCTAGGCCGTATGTGGCCCACGATGCGAAATGAGTTTGACACCCCTGCCTTAGTCTGGCTGACAGCATCAAGTGCGACATCGCAGCACGTCTCAGCGCGCTCGCTGCTGAGTTGCGCAGATACTTCCCAGACAGCGACGACGAGTCCGACAGTTGGATTCAAACTCCCTTCACTAGGCCGACTGTTCCTGCTGCCCTGTCGGTCTCTGAAAAAGAGAACCTCATTGACATTGTAACATCAGGATCCTTGAAAACGGATTTCAACCGCAAGCCTCTCACAGATTTTTGGATAGGGCTGCTCACCGACTACCCTGAACTGGCAACACGCGCAGTCAAGAAATGAATGCCATTCGCCACTACATATTTATGTGAGAGAGGACTTTCATGTCTGACCAGCCTGAAAACTAAATACCGACACACCGACGAATTAAGACTGAAACTGTCGCCGATTCGGCCAGACATACAGGGGTTATGCGCGTCCTCTCAAGCACACCCCTCACATTAGAGTCACAAGGACTCCGTCACCTATCCTAAACTTAATGCAGTGCTCCGCAGTTTTGCTGCTGTATTCTGAACAGGCTCGTTATAGTCTTTGTTCTTGTTTGTTACATATTATGTTATGCCCCTTTATCATGCGGATGTATTTAGTATCTGCAGTCAAGTTAATAAAACTGTGATCCCTATGTTGAATGTTTCTTTGTTTTGTTTTGTTTTTTGGGGGGGGGGGGTACGCGGATGGAGATGAAATGCTCCAAGGGGTACGCGATGCAGAAAGTTTGGGAAGCACTGCTCTTGGACGATTTGCGAAATATGGCCCTCAATTTGGTGTCCAGGCTGAGAGCTACATTGAATAATCCAACACCAAACAGTATGTATCATGAGCCATCTCTAGACAACGTGTGGTTTCATTACATTATGTTGCTTTCCCTGTATACATATAACAATATACAAGTACTGTTTTTGGAACAAGTTATTGCATTTGTCATGGAAGTGTTGCTGTCATTATCATACAGCTTACCTATTTATTTAGCATATAACACAACAGATGCTACATGATGTCAGTGAATTAATTATGTTGAATGAACAATGAAGTTCAGGGACACAGCAACACACAGTCAAGCTCAGCCAGGGTATCCAGGCAGAACACATCCCAGGAACCACAAGAGCACAGTGTGGTGCGTGTACCTACACAGGTACCTTCAGGGACTCCAGTTCAACAGAACATGGCCAGGTTTGGATGTTGTTCAAAGGATGCATCTCAAATGTTTGGATAACAGCCGTCTTCAGTTCCTCACACAGTTGTTTGACTGCTGATTCAAATGAATGAATTATATGCCATTCATTGCGGAGTTCAAGAGCAGATGGCCCGCCCTCTTCAAAGTACTTGAGGTATGGCTTTGAGTCTTGTTTTAAAACTGGCCATGAACAGAAAATTACTATGTTTAAATTTCAGGACAATTTAAAACTCTAGATTTTATCTTTGTGCAGACATAGACATAGATTGATGAGTTTTATATTGAATGTACATTTTTACAATTTTATCAATTTATTTTGATCTAAGCAAATAGATTCTAAGACGAGGGGCTTCATTTGATGTTTTCTTTACTACTTTGAAAAAATTACAGAAAAATAATTATTATCAAATAATGCATTTTGGTTGACGAGCGTGGCGGCGTCACTTGTACACAGCGTCGCTATGAAGGTGTCCATGGTGGAGGCAAAACAACAATGGACAAGTTTGTGAAGCGAACCAGTTCAGATCTTTCGCGCCTGGACACACCCGAAGCAACATCTGAAGA